TGTAGTCTGGTTATCCTTTGCTTTACGTCTAGTATCCACTTATGAATGAGTACCATGTTTGTCCTTCTGATTCTGGGTTACTTCAGGATGATATTTTCTAGTTCCATCCACTTGCCTGCAAATTTCATGCTGTCATTGTTTTTCTCTGCTGAGTAATACTCCATTGTGTATATGTACCACATTTTCTTTTCTTTCTTTCTTCCTTTTTTTTTTTTTTTTTTTTTTTTTTTTTGAGACAGGGTTTCTCTGTGTAGCTTTGTGCCTTTCCTGGAACTCACTTGGTAGCCCAGGCTGGCCTCAAACTCACAGAGATCGGCCTGGCTCTGCCTCCTGAGTGCTGGGATTAAAGGTGTGTGCCACCACTGCCCGGCCACATTTTCTTAATCCATTCTTCAGTTGAGAGGCATCAAGGTTGTTTCCAGGTTCTGGCTATTATGAATAATGCTGCTATGAACATAGCTGAGCATGTGTTATTGTGGTATGATTGAGCATTCCTTGGGTATATGCCCAAGAGTGGTATAACTGGGTCTTGAGGAAGACTGATTCCCAATTTTTTTGAGAAACCACTATATTGATTTCCAAAGTGTCTGTACAAGTTTGTACTTCCACCAACAGTGGAGGATTGTTCCTCTTGCTCCAACATAAGCTAGATGAGTCTGTTTTTAAAACTATTTTCTTTCATTTCATTTTTATATCCTTCAGCTCCACTTTTCCTTTCTTCTTTCCTTGCCCAATATCTTTTTTTATTGATTGTCTGACTTCTTTTGTAACTAACTGCCATCTTTAAAAATCATTCCAGATTGATTGTTAGAGAATTCACAAATTTATTTTTTGGAGGGCCATCAGAAAATTATTGTGTTGATTTGGTAAGATCATGTTACTCTTTATGTTTTTAAATTTTCCTTGGAGGCTGATTTTGCTGTCACTTTATTAAATAATTCCAACTCCTCCACATTAATTTTTTTTACTTTTATATTGTTTGGGAATTTGTGCATGATAGGTTTGGGGAGAAAGAATAAACCAGTGAGCTGATGTGGTGCCTGTGTGGGTGCTACTCATTCTTAGAGCTCATCTTAGGTGTTGCTCACTCTGCAGCCATTCTCCCCTGCAAAGAAGACGATCCTACACTATTGGTGAAATTATTAAGGCCCCGCCACATAGTTAAAAGGGAGGTTTATTTTGTGGGGTAACTTACAAGTGAAGGGATAGGTTACAGGGTCTGGGAAAGGTGTAGCGCAATCCGGCGGTGTTCTCTGGAGAACTCTTCTCAGTCTACCTTCAGCATCCAGGGTCCAGGAACTAAGAGAGCAAGTGCATCCAGATCTCAGATCTTCAGGGTCCTCTCTCTCAGGCCCCCCTTGTAGGCGTGACAGTTACTGAAGCCTCAATGGGGCTTGGAACTTCCAGATCAAAGGTGGAATGGCTACCCACTACATCTCCCTCTTTGTCTAAATAAGAAGGTTCTAACCTAATACAAGACTACATACAAAGGAATGGTTATCAAATATTGTCCAGGAAAAATGAGGGATAATGACCAAGATAAGATGTAACTACAACCAATGCAAACAATATCAAGCAAGAAACACATACTAAAATCCAGAAAAGTCTAGAGCGTAGGTAAATGGCATGTTACAAAGATCATTCCAAAAGGTGTCCTACCCTAAAGAACCAGAATCTAATACTTAATGTGTTCTAAGATATTATATATATACTAAGTTGTAACTATAACTGCTAGTCTTCAGTCCCATCATAGACCTGAGAAAGAATATAATGGTACCTGAGAAATGGAAGATGGATATAATTCCATTAGGTAGGTAATCTTCAAACACTTCAAAGACCTACAGAATATGGCATTTAAAATGTTTTAAAAATTTAGATTTTCTGGACAATGAGACATGTCTGCTCCTGGCAGCACCAATTTACTTCAGAGAGGAGGATGGGCATCGAAGATACTCCATATGGAGTTTATCTTCACCTTGGCAAAAATAGCCATTTGGGCAAGAAACTGTTCTTGTCTGGACTGTTTGATCAACTGGACATGCAGGACCCATATGAAGGTGACCACTGAACTTTGCTTGGCGAAGTGGTCCCTCAGGTTCCTGCTTCACAGAGGAAACTGCCAGACATTCTACAGGACATCTCTCAGAGAGAGATGACTGAGAGACTCTGGGCCTGTGGGCTGAAGACAGATGCCCCAACTTTACAAAGAAACATTAGGTGACTGTCCAGGCTGCCAGCTGTCTCTGTCTACCCTGCAAGAATCCTGAAAGTTGCTTGCATCCTTCTCCTGTTTCTCGGGTAATAGTATATCCTTCTGAGGTCTTTGATGTAGTTGAAGACTAGATAGTTATAATTTCCTCAGTTATGAAAAAAGATAAGTTACATATAAAACCTTAGACTCACAAATATAAGATAGATAGGATATCTTATTTAATATTGTAACTGTAATTCTTGCTTGATAAATGTAATTTTACTATGTTAAAGTTAAAACCTTCCTTTTTGATAAAAAAAAAAAGAAAAAGGGGAAGTGCTGTGGATGATTGATTAATAAATAAAACACTGATTGGCCAGTACCCAGGCAGGAATTATAGGCGGGACTATCAGAGAGGAGAATTGAACAAGAAGGCAGAGAGGACGAGATGCCAGCTTGCTGCCCAGGGAGCATCATGTAAAGACAGCAGGTAAAGGCACGGAAGACATGGCAACATACAGATTAACAAAAATGGGCTGAGTATAAGAGTAAGAGCTAGACAATGGTAGGCCTGAGCTAATGGCCGAGCAGTTTAAATAATATAAGCATCTGTATCTTTATTTTAAAAGTGAGCTATGGGACTGCCGGCGCTTGGTGGGACCCGGAGAGAAAAACTCTAGCTACACTACACCTCCTTTCAGTCTCCCAAAGCCAGGCTGGGTGCTAAGTGCCTGCCATTGGCTTCCTCAGCAATGGTGACTTGGAGTTGATAAAGAGGAATCCTTTCCCCTAATCTGTAAAATCAAGTGAGATACTTTTATATCCTCACACACTGCCTTTAAAATGATGGCTATGGTGCCGAGGGAAGGAGTATGAAGAGCAGTATGGGCATGCACCGACTAGTGAGTGTGAATGCACCCATGACTCCTGGCTCAGCTGCGCTGTGGAGTTATGAAACAGTTGGAAGGAAGGCTGAGATCCCTGTCCTGTCGTCCTGTTGATGCCCTCACTGATACTCATTTTGATTCATACATCATTCTCACAAAGGGACCTTAAGGTCAGGTGTGAGGTAGTTCACCCAAAGTCACTCAACTCCAAGTGGTGGATAGGAAGGGCTCAAAGATCAAGTCAGGGCTTCAGATTCAGTTTTTACATATTACACTGCAAAGATACGTTAGGAAACACCAACAATAAGGACATTTTTAAAATAAATGTAAAGTACATTTATAGAACATGAACAGAACTGAGTCAATGCCTTTCCTGGACCTGAATTGTCAGGAAGCAGCAACCTACCTTTAACTTAATTTATCTTCACACATGGATATCATTTCTGTTCTGGGTTTGACTAAGGATTCCCACATGGTTTCTAATCAAATCCATTTAAGTGTTTGTACCTGTTTCAACTAAAACTTCTCAAAAAAAAAAGAAAGAAAGAAAGAAGGAAAGAGAGAAAGAAAGAAGAAAGAGAGAGAGAGAGAAATTAAACACAGAAAGTATCTAAAAAAAATGACACCCCCAGGGTATTCCATGGAAGGAAATTAAAATGCCATTTCAATGAAAAAAAATTGAATTTATAACAGTGGATATTTCAGTCTGTTCTTTTGGAGCTTGGCAGTATTACAAATTTATTGGCTCCTTTTTAAAGGAGAACACTATAGGGAGTCTGAGGTCTGATTCAATTTATGTTTGCTTAGTCATGTCCCCAGTAACCCCACTGGGATGAGGTCAGCCTTGAGGAATATCCCTATTTTAAAAACTTAAAATAAAGTCAGAATAAGTCTTCCTCCTTTTTCTCAAGTTTCTTATACTTTTCCGTGAGGTGCCATCTCCCCACATGCCCTTCCTCAGGTTATTCATTTTTAATTGTCTCTAGATCTTAGCATCCTGATGCCAGGGACAGAGCCTGTGGCTCTGTTCTGACAGTCCCCCCACCCATTCCTCATATGTTCACTGAAATAGGCTTAGCAGCCATCTGCATCTCTGTATGGAAGCAGGCAAAATGTCAGCCCTCCCATGGGTTCCACACAGAAGAAAGCTCGGGGAGACCCACTGGTTTCTCACCCAGACTACCGTGGCTCTGGCCTGGCTGTTCTCATTAATGTTTTAGCATTTGGGTCTCATGAGCTTGGGACGCACTTTTGTCATTGAGGTTCACAAGGTAACCTCCAGCATGAAGCACATTTTCCATAGACTGTGGAGAGGTGCTTCTTCAGTCTAAACAAAGAACACCTTTCACCACACACACATGGACACATTAGAGGAGGGTATTTGTAGCAAATCTTTAATATGGCAAAGGCGAAACATGCTGGTTGATTCTGAGTGGAAGAAAAGAAGAGAAAGGGGAGAAGGGGGCAGTAAAGAAAATCTCTAATGAAGATTTATAAAAGGGTGTCTAGAAAGGAAGAAGGAACTAATGTGCCCCTGTGTCACATGATGAAATTGCCATCATAGGTGGATCTATAGTAGAACGGAGAGGTTGGGGAGACTGGAAAGAAGAAGAGAACAGAGGGCATGCATGATTCCTTCCCTGTACCAGGAATGTCTGGGGTTGCTTCACCCCCATGTTGCAAAGACATTTATGCTTAGCATTGTCTAAATGTCAAAGTAAGGAGCAAGTAGGAAGCTCAACTCCTTACACTCCTTCCTTAGGAAACATTTGTTGAGTATTATGAACAGGTGATATGGTCACCATTATCTAATCGAACAATGTACAGCTTCCACTTTCAAGCCCTCACAATAAGTTAGGACAGGATTACTTGACAACTGTTGGAAATCTGACTACAGGTTGACTTGTCTGCCTGATTTGTAGGACAGCTCAGACTAAACATGCCTCTTGAGCATAGACAGATCTACCAGAAGTATCTGAAGACATCCGTGAAATGAATTCATATGAATCAGCAAGTCCTTGCAGGAAGATGTGTGGACCTCAGTAAGTAGAAGAATGAATCTATTTCTGAGTTAGTAGAAACTGACCACAACATTGGTCAACACTGGGCTATGGAAGCTTCTACACACTAATAACATTGTTGGGCTCCCTTGGGAAGTCTGTGGTGAATCACCAGAAGGGCTACCATCAGCTTGGACCTCTGCTTAGCTTGCTCCATGACTGTCAGTCTAGGATGTCAGGACACATTACTGCAGCCAAAGTCACTTATGTCACACATAGCTCTGAAAACTTGAAGGCCCTGGTCAAGGGATAGGAAGCGATAACTCCTGGTGTCTGTGAGCAAGGTGTATCTGCTCCTAGCTTCCCCCTTGTTCCTACAGCCCTGGGCATTTCTTGGCTTGTAGATGGAATTCCTCTTGTCTTCTCCTATCTTTCCTTCATAAATATCATGCTGTGTGCAGTTATGTTGAGTTAGTAATCACCACAATGGCCTCATTCACTTGTTTATAAAGACAATTAATTTCTTTTTTCTTTATTAAGAATTTTTTTATTCCTTTAACATACCAGCCACAGATCCCCCTCTCATCCCTCCTGCTCTCCCCCAGCCTTCCCCCATCAACTCATTCCCATCCCCTCCTCTGAAAATGTAAGGCCTCCCATGGGGAGTCAGCAAAGCCTGGTACATTCAGTAGAGGCAGGCTCAAGTCCCTTCCCCATGCATCAAAGCTGCACAACGTGTCCCACCATAGTTAATGGGCTCCAGACACTTAATTTCTAAATTAGGTCACATTCATAGGTTTTGGGGGGATTTCAACATCTTAGGAGAGCTTCTCTTAAGAGCAACTAAGAGTTCACAATTATATACTTCTAGAAATTCTCCCAGCTAGAGAAAGCCAGCTTTTCAAAGTCATACCCCTTCCCTACATCAGTCTAACCTATGAATGACCCATGACAGAAGAATATAAGGCCTGACACTGCCCTGATTCTGGGAAATTCTACAGGTGTAGTCCAACTCTAAAACTCCCTGGAGTTTAGAGAGACTGCTCCTTAACTCTGTTTGCCTCTTTCCCTACAGGCTTTACTGGACAGCACATCCCAGTAAATGACCTGAGCAAATAAGGAAATCAAAGCCACATCACTTGTACCAGTGTGTCTTCAGACATGGACCACGCTAACAATACAAAGATAATACATGCCTGCTCTCCAAAGCCTTTCTCAGTGTCCACAGGCATTAGCTGGTATGGCAGTATTTACTTCCTCTTGTGATTGGTCTCCCTTACTTCTGCACCTCCCAGACCACAGCTGATCATTACCTTCTTCCTCTCCTTGTGAACTCTACTTCTAGAATAAAGAGAGGATGAGGGATTGCTTCCCATCTATAGGGTACAGTGGCCATCTAGTCACTTTACATGTGTGATTCTAGTACAAATGGGAAAAAACAGATTCTAAGGAGGTCAATAAGATCCCAGAGCATCAGTTTGTGATAGATGCAGGAGTAGGATCCCAGGAGCATCCAGTCTGAAAAGCTGTGATCCTTTTGCAATACCACCGGTTCTCAGACCAACATCACGCAGACAAGTATATTAAAAGCAAACAAAAAATTGGTGAACATAAATAAAATTAGTGATGTAAGATCTTGCAAAAAACATTAAAAGCAAAATTTTCAATACACTGTTGAGGGAGACCAGCTCCCTCTTTTTCCCCCAGGGTATTTTTGAGGAGGGAGAAGTAAGAAATATGTAGAAGTATAGAGAAGAGAGACAGTTAGAAACACAGGATAGATAGTTCGGGAGGGCCTGGGTCAAAACCCACCATCCTCTTCTGTCCCTGCTAAAGGGCTAGAGCAAAAGACCTGCCCAGCACAGCCAAGTGCAGACCATCCCAGATACCTGGTGACCACACAGGTGGTCAAGCCATCCCCTATTGCAGCTCTGTTGTGCAAAGCACGCTCGGATCTCACTAGGAAGCTTTTGTGGGCTCCCACGCACTGTCACCACCATTTCATAAGGCGAGCAACATTTTAAGTCAGAAAAATTACAAACATTTAAAATCAAAACAGAGACTGCATGTGCTTCTATAAAGCCAAGAAGTTTAGCTGTGTGGGTAAGCAGAGTGCAGTCTTACTCCTGATTGTATTCATTTGACTGTGGTTCTTTTCATTTCAAGGATTGATACAAGTTGAGAGAGGGAGGGGAGAAAGAGAGACAGAGAGAAAGATGGAGTCAGGGAGAGAGGAATGAAAGAAAGGATCAAGGAAGAGAAGGGAGGGAGGGGGGGACAGGCGGGAGGAAGAGGGAGGGAAAAGCGTTGTAAATAGTTCCCAATGATCTAGGTTTTATTCACACTAAGGTGCAAAATGGCCTCTCTATGTTATTCTACTGAATATTTTCAGTGTTGCAAAAGATTTATCCAAGTTAGCTTTGATGGGATTTAACCATAGTGAGGTTGCCTGGGTATTCTGCACTTCATGCCACAAAGCAAAAGCACAAGGAAATTCTATTTTATAACTTGACTGTTTTTCCCCAGGTCTCAGATCTCTCAGAAGTCGAGATCTGGCAAGAGTCCAATTTCTAGTCAGAAGATTCTGTTTCCACCCTATCTATTCACATTACAATCCCCCTTAAAATTTATATCCACAAACTTATTTTCTACCATTGGTTACATCTGACAGGGAACTATAGTTAAAATTCATGTTGATAACTGGATGCTTCTAAAATGCTAGACAAAATGTATGCATTCCATAATGCTTGCCACATGCTTCTTAACAATCAGATGGGAGTGGAATGAGTTAATGTATTCGTAGTGATCACAAATATGTCCTCTGTAGAAACACTGATTTGTAAGCACTGTTCACCTGGAGGACTCCCCAAACACAATATAGATGAGAGTGGGACCAACCACCCACCAGTGAAATGCAGCTGCCTCAGGGGTACCAACTCTTGTGTCTGAGGTTTCAGTATTACAAAGAGAACTGCAGCATTATCCTGGGGAGCTCTAATTCGCTAAGTCTTTCAGATTTAGAACTGACAGAGGCATTTCGTTTGAAGAACAGCAGTATTTTAAGAAGGCTGAGTGTGAGTTTTGAAGTGGCAATCACTCCTTGCAGGCAGCTTGTCACCTTCAAAGGAAGGAAGACCTTTGCTTCAGATCAGTGCTGGGTTTGAATCCCAGCTCAAAAAAACAACAACAACAAAAAAAAGATTCAGATGGGTGACCCTGAACGCTGTCATCCCCTCAGTAGAAGGGGAGCTGATAACGCTATCTTTGCCATAAGCTTGCTGTGAAAACTGAATGACAGATGCATTCAGTAAATGATAGCTGTTGTCATTACTGTACCTATAACTCCTGGGGCTATCCTGAATCTTAGTGTTGTGAAAACAATTACAGTAGTAAAGAGTGTTAGCTGTGGTGTTCCATAAGCCTGGGAGTGCCTTCGGGGCTTTCTCATGTCCTCACTATAAACATGTTGTTTCACAGAAGTTGAAGTGGTCTTTGACTGAGAAATTTACTTACCCAGCCCAAAGTTACTGCGCAGCTAATGTACTTACTATTTACTATGCTTATCACTATAACAAAATATTTGACAATAGCCACTCAGTGAAGAGTTTATTTTGATGGCCAGTTAAAGAGTACAATCCATCATGGTGGAAAAAACACAGCAGCAGGAGCTCTAGGCAGCTAATCACACTGCTACCCCAGTCAGGAAGTAGAGAGAAACAAATTCCGGGGCTCAGCTGTGCTTCTCTTTCTTCTGCCTGGGCACCGCATCCATGGAATGATAATTCATGGTGGTCTTCCAACCTCAGTTAACCACATCTAGAAAATCTCTCCTAGACATCTCCAGAGGTTTGTGTCCTAGGTGATTCAAGATCTTGTTGAAGTTCAACATCAAATTTAAATCGACAAGATCTTGAATCACCTAGGAGGCAAACTAGGTGACAATATTAAGTTACAATGTCAAACCACCACCATTAGCAAGCGGCAGTGACAAATTGTAGAACCAGCCAAGCAGTGTTCGAATGGTCTCTTCAGAAAATGGCTTGGAATTTCATGCTGTCTCCCATAGCTCTCACCGTGCTTTGGCCTTGCTGAGCGCTCCTACTTGCCAGCCCTGACAATAGGATACGGCGGCTATGTGAATGAGGCATTCCTGTCTTGTCCTGTTTCTCCACCTACATTTTTCCCTGGTGCACAAGTCCTTAATCCAAGCAGACTGGTGTACACAACTCCTCACCACACTGCTAACATCATCATTGCTCCTACTGTTGTTATTCTTCGGGTTAGCAGTGCCCTTCAGGGACTTGTGTGTTAAATATTTGGTTCCTAGTTCTTGGTGCTTTGGGAAGATGGTGAAAACACTTAAGATTTGGAGCCTTGTGGAAGGACTGCACCCAGAGGAGGTGGGAACCTTGACTTCTCCTCCCCTTCTTTCCCACCTGACATGAGAACTTCATGCACCATATGTTCCCACCATTACTGGCAAAACAGCAGGGTCAGTCAGTCATGGAATGAAACCTTTTCTCTATAGAAACTGCTTGCTTATGCCTCTGTTAGAGCATTGGGAAATTTACTGTAGTGAGGAGGAAAGTGAGAGAATGGAGATGTCATTTCCAGAGCATAGAGATCTAACCTGAACCTGAGTTCGACTACCACTACCCTTAGCATTTCTGCCTTTTAACAGCATCTGCAAGTATGATTTCTAGGTTTTCCCAACTCATTCTGATCTTGATGTATTCAAGTCTTTGAGCCAAACTCTCAAGAATTCTCAGCAATTTTGAATTCTTAAAGGTGTCTTGATAAATTCTTTGTCATCCAAGTCATCCAAGATCTTTTTGTTGCCTTAAAGGACTCGAACCCATCCATAGTTCTCCATTAACATTTACATCTGCTTCACATTGGGTACATTCCCATGCATTGCCTTGTCCTGCTCATTTTCAGTGCATTTCTGAATTTTCTCCAGCTAAGTTATCAGGTCTTTCAGAGCAGACACTGTATAGTATATAATTCTCAATTTGCCTCTCTGAGGGCTTAAGATAGTGTGTTGAATAAAACATATGTAGTTCAGTTGGGTAATTGACTACCCCTAGAGGTTCAAAGTCACCTCTTTGGCCTCAGCATAATGTGTTTCCTAACATCCTGACATCAAGCTAGTTCTGGAATTTTCCAAATCATTAGAATTCTTTGCCAGACCAATCTAAGCTGTGATGGACAGGATGCATCCTTGTCTGTAACATTTCCCTGGTGCTGGAGCTTATTAGAGATTGCAGGCCTGTGAGCATCTGCTTAACAACAAAAACAAAATTCCTCCAGGGTAACTCCATTTCTGATCTTCCTTAAAATACATCTTAGATACAAGCAGTCAAATAAGAGCATTGGTTAGCCCTGCACTTTAATCACAGAACGCAAACCTCAGATTTCCAGCACTCCTCTGGCATTGGCAAACCCACTATAATCATAAGTGTCTGCCTTTCCCTGTGTTCAGCAGGTGAAGGGTGGACTTCAGAGTCACAAGCTCACACTGAAGCTTGTCAGGCTCTGTTTCCTTGGCCCTGTGTTCTGATTATCCAAGGCAAGCTCTCTTCTGTAGGAAGACTGCTCTTTGTGAAAGAACTTTGTTAAATCAATAGAATTTACTCTGAATCTTACTTTCACGTGGAAAACACACACACATAGAGCACACTACATAAGTAAAATATTTTGAAATACTTAAAATTTTCCCTTTGTATGAATTTCATATACTATTTTAAAGTAGTTCCACGTATATTTTAATAGTGTTTATTTCTCAAAATAAACTGAGAATTTAAACAGAGGTGTAAATATTAGCAATTGATTGTCTCAACAACTGAAACTAGAATCTTCCTTTGAAAACCTGTGGATATGCAGTACAGAAACCATGGGGATGCTCAGGCTTGATACTACTATACTATTGTTAATTTTAAAACTTTTAAAGTATAAGTAGAATATCCTTTTGTAAACAGAGGCTTTTTTCTGTTTTTTCAGCAACTCCCAAATACCCAGCAGCCACTTCCCAAATAATTGACTCAGAGGCTTAATATTACATATAAATGCTCGGCCAGTAGCTCAGGCTTATCACTAACTAGCTCTTACACTTAAATTAAGCCATAATTCGTATTTATGTTTTGCCAGGTGGCTTGGTACCTTTTTTCGGTACAAAATTCTCATCTTGTGTCCTCTGTGTTTGCCTAGAGACTCTCTGACTCTGCCCTTCTTC